AGCAGGGGGAGTGGGAGAGGGAGAAACAGGCTTCCCGTGGAGCAGGGAGCCCGATGTGGGGCTCGATCCCAGGACCCTGGGATCATGACCTGAGCCGAAGGCAGATGCTTAACGACTGAGCCACAACAGGCGCCCCAAAAGTCATCTTCTTAGTGAGGCCTTACCTAAGACTACTTAACATTATGACCCTAACACACTCTTTTGGTATTGCTTAGCTAAATTTTTATCCATAGCAATAGGTTATTATGTATTTTATTTAGTTTTCGCTCCCTCCCCCCAATTAAAATGTATGCCCTAGGAAGACAGAAATTTTTGTCTATATTTTTCAATGCTATATTCCCAGTATCTAGAACTATGCCTGTCAAAGAATAAGTACCCATTAAATATTTAATAAAATATCTGAATTTATCTTCCTACTCACATTCTTAAAAAAATGCAAACCAATTTTGTCAAAGGTATAGAAAAACTTATTCACACATGGAAGCCGATAATATGCTTATTATGTACTCTGAAAACTGAAAGGTAGGAAAAAAAGTCTTACTTCATGTACTTTATATTCTGCTAGGAGAGAGAAAGGTAAACAAATAAATAATGGAAGGTGGTGATAAGAACAAAGTAGAGTAAGGGAAAAGAGAGTGATGGGCAGAGGAGCTGATCGCTGTAATTGAGAAACTGATCAGGGAAGGTGTCTGAGAGGTGATACCTGGGTAGAGACCTGAGAAAAATAAAGAATCATGCCAGGCAAATATCTAGAAGAGTATTCCAGGCAGAAAAAGCATGAACTTCTTTCACTGGTAGTTGCCTAAACAGGCACAAACTTGAAAGACAGTGATTTAGTGCCATTAAAAATTTTAAATGTGCATATTCTTTGATTAAGCTAAAGTTATTATACTTTTAGGAATGGATGCTAGAAAAATACACAAAGTAATGCTCATGTAAAATAAAACTCAAGGATGCTTACTCTAACAGTTCAACAGATAAAAACTAAACCACCACCAAAAGATCTATGAACAAGAATCTGGATAAAGTTTTGGTACATCAAGACAATGGAAAAAGCCATGCTACTTTTTAAAAGGAATGAGACTGTGTCCTGAAAAATACATTATATATATATATATAAATACATTTTATATACACACACATAAAGCAAACTGCAAAGTAGTATGCAATAGTATGTGTATATATATATACACATTATATACACACACACACACAAGCAAATTGCAGAATAGTATGCAACACATAACTCCTATTTTTGTAAGAGGAAAAAAAATTTATAATGTAGCCCTACTATACACATACATATATATACATACCATCCTGCCCAACAGGTCTATATACCAGATAGTTAACATGACATTTCTGATAAGAAAACTTTTCCATATCCTATTATTCACCTCTGTAGCATTTGAAATTTTTATAATAAATTCTTAATAAGTCTCTTTCTAAGTATACTGATTTCTCCCCCTCAAATTACCTCTTCTGGGAGAGCAGAATGGGGTTTGTCAGAAGTTGCAAGTAATAAAACTGGAGCAAATGAAGGAATATTCTGTAACAACGTAGTAAATGTGGCTTTGAGTGTTGGTCCAACTATTTCCCACCACAAGTGGATATGAGGAACATACACTATACTTGGTGCTGTTCTCTTAGCTTCACGAATCATCTAGTAGAGAGGAAGAAAAAATATTTAGTTAAAGTCAGTACATTAGTAATGCTCACTTTATTAGTCTGGAACAACATTTAACTTCCTACAATTATCATATAAAGCCCTCAAGTTTTTAAAATGCTTCGCCCAGTCTCACAATCTTATTTTTAAATGTTTTATGAAATTCTCATTTGTAGGAAAACATGGTTGCTTCAAGCAATTAGAAAGAAAACAGCTTAATCAATCTAGAAGACTTGTGTTAAATATAAAAACATAAAACTTTCACATTTGAAAGATTTTAACATGGAAATAGCAAAAACAGAAGCAGAAAATCTGAGCACAAACCACATAGCATTTAGTGTTTTAAGTACTTTATTCACTTAATTCTCACACCAGCTACACAACGTAAGTACTGTTATTACTTCCATTTTGCACATGGGAAAACAAGGTAGAGCTCTAACAACTTCCCTAAGGTCACACAGATATTAAATGGTGGAAATGTGATTTAAATCCATACTCTTTAATGACTAGGCAATTACATACAGTTCTATTTCATAAACCTGGAGGTAGAAATCAGAACGACAAGAAAAAAATTCAAAAACGATAAGGCAATTGTAGATTGTGCCTCTGGAAGACTGTGTTCTCTTACAGCTTATTTGGGCAACAATGAATTACCTGGGCACACGTTTCTTCAGGAGATGTAGCACTGACTCCAAAAAGAACAGGAATGTCTAATGTATATACTGCAAATTTTTCCAAAGCATGGATGACAGCTGGTGCCAAATGAGAACCTTGCCCAAAGCCTGGTTCTCCCACTATCAATATTCTTGGTCGAAAAGACATAGGTTGATAACATGCATTTCTGAAAGAAATTAGCTTTATTTTAGAAAAAGCAAAAATTTAAATTTTCCTCCCAAATTATCCATTTTTAACTCTCTTAAGGTAAAAGTTTTGACGATGTAGGTGGTCAATCCATAACAGCATGATTCACGTGGTTTTTGGAAAGTTATCAACCTCCACAGATTTTAGGAATACTTCATATATAGTGAAATTTCTACTACACTGACAACTGTAATGATAAAAATATTTGATGTTTTAACTTAAAAAAAGATCAGTTAGCATCTTTTATCTTTTTCAACCACCATCTTTTAGTTTTAGGGAATTCACACACCAAAAAATTATATATATTCATTTGCAGGAGAAATATATACCTATTCAAATGAAGAAAATTAAAATTTTCTTTTGTCTTAAAGGATTTTTGAGAAAGCCCATTCTCATATACAGATGGAATATCATCATCACTGTATGCCAAGTCACTTTCTAGCAGAGGACATGAAATATCTATAAAACAAAAAAATTGCACATTAGTAACTTTTCTGGATTGCAAAGCAAATGTTTACCTAATGCTCTGGTTAGCAAATCAATGTAAATGAAATGTACAAGAGAATTTTTAAGAATCAAAAATATCTATGTAGATATGAGTAACAAGTAAATATAAAAAGGCCATTTCAAACTTAAAACAGATTTAACTGAAGGTGATCTGTGAATCTGCGAAGTAAATTTCCTTCAAATATCCAGGCAAAGCATGACTAGATTCCTTTCAAGAGGCTCTTTGTATTATTATTATTTACAAGTTTTATTTGCTTATTTTGAGAGAGAGAAAAAAAGAGCGCACATGGGAGCAGGGGGTAGGCAGAGAGAGAGGGAGAGAAAAACTCAAGCAGACTCCGTGCTGAGTGCACAGAGCCTGACACAGGACTTGATCCCAAGACCCACCACAAGATCACAACCTAAGCTGCAACCAAGAGTCAGATGCTCAACCGACCACGTCACCCAGGCGCCCTGAAGAGGCTCTTTTCTAAAGAAACATTTCTGGGATGTATAAAACATTTAGCTTTACTGATTATGAAAACTGACTTTAAATGGCCAATCCAGTTGCATACCTGAGTCTAATGATTTATTTGTTCTGATTTCTGCATGTGGAAATACTCTCTGCAGGGCTTCTAAGATCTTGTGAACGGTGCTTTGCAGGAGAGGTTTCACAACAGTGGACAATGCCTGCCCAGGTGATGTCACAGCTCTTTGGGCAGCTGGTATCATCTTTTGCATAGCTACCTCAAAATCCTTAGCCGAGATGTTAATTGAAGAGAGATCCAACTGTAGTTTCTCACTAGTAGTATAGATTTGTGGGTAGCGTCGACGCAGAGCACATAAAGCAGCCTCAGAGCATATCGACTTAATATCTGCACCGCAGTATCCTATCCAAGGCAACCAAAAAATTTTTAAAATGTAAATCATCACCCTAATAGCATGACCATGGTTGAAAGAAAATTAAAACTTAACCTAGCAATATAGTAGGAAAATATTTAAAATAAGGCTAAAAATCTCTCATTCACCCAGTGAACTTATAATGGTAGTAATAACTATCAACTCTTGCAAGTGAAATGTACAAACACTAAGTATAGCATAGCATTCAAGAACAAGAGTTTCAAAATCAGACTAGGGTCAAATTCTATTTTATCATTTACTACATGTATGATTTTTGGAGAATCATTTATGCTCTCTCAGCCATTTCTTCATCTGTAAAATAGGGATATAATGCTACCTACTTCACAGGACTGATGTGAGAATTTCTTGAAGTGATATATGTAGAATGCTTAACAGAATGACTAGAAAAATGTGATCAGCAAAAGATGGCTATTATTACTATTGTCTAACTTTGCTTTCAAATTCTGCAACAGCCAATTCATCAAATATCTCTAATATCCAGGATTTTGTAAGAAGAAAACACGCCACAAATAAGAGATTAGAAACAAATATAACCTGTATTTCTTTAAACATAACGTTGCAAGACTACAACTTGCTTCATCTCTGAAACGCATGCATTTTTATCTTTTAATGCCTAAAGCAATGTTTACCAACACAGTTTTCTGCTAGTTCTTCTAGAAATACGTCCAGTGGTTTAGGATTCCAATCTCTTGTGTGAATCTTAAGAATTTCTTTTCGAGCCTACAAGTAAGAACAATTTAACTTTTTTAATAATAAAGTGTTATTCAGATTTGAATAATTTCAGTTTAAAATAATTTTATCTAAAATTATAAAGAAATCAATACCTATTATAATAAAAATATGAAACACTAAAAAAGAAAAGAAAAAGATGTATTTGTAAGCATTTAAGTTTATGTTAAAGAAGATTTGCATTTATAGTGCTCAAGTTCTAGTGCTCACCATAAATGTGTACGAAATTAAGTAATAATGAGACTAGTGTTCATTCTGGTACGTATTAAAAATTGTGCTTTTTTAAAGATTTATTTATTTATTCCAGAGAGAGAGAGAGCACCAGTGGGGAGAGGGGCAGAGGGAGAGAAGCTGACTCCCCGCTGAGCGCAGAGCCTGATCTCATAACCCTGAGATCATGATCTGAGCTGAAATCAAGTTGGATGCTTAACCAGCAGAGCCACCCAGGCGCCCCAAGAATTGTTTTTAAGAGTACTGACAGCTCTACTCATATTTCCCTGCTTGGTTCTCAAAAGATTAAGCGGCTTTAAAATAACTGGGTAGGATTATAAGGTAGTATCCATGAAAAAACCAATGTTAATAAATTGACTAAGGACTGACTATTCATTAGGCCACATGTTCTGAAGCAAAATAAAGTTGTATGGTAACAACCAAAGGCTATGGTCAAATTGAGAATTTTTTTTTTTTTTTTTAAAGATTGACTGATTTTAGAAAGAGAGAGCAAGAGCACATGAGTGGGGGAAGGCGCAGAGGGAAAAGGGATGAGAGAATATCAAGTTGACTCTGAACTGAGCCCGGAGTCCGTTGCAGGGCTTGATCTCACGACCCTGAGATCATGACCTTAGCCAGAATCAAGAGTCGGATGCTTAACTGACTCTGACTGAGCCACCCAGGC